ATAATTTATGTAGTCTCTCTGATCGGTTCAAGGGGTAGCTCATTGAGTATGGTGCTTCCACGCTAACCATTAGGTCATTTTCGAATCCATCTTACCTTTATCAGGGGTCGCAGAGCCACCCGAGGGACTGTATCCAGGACAAGACTAGGACTTGATAGTCTTAGTATGGTATTAAATTTTGTTACATTTAATGCTGTCTATAATTTGTTTTATCCTTTTATGAATCACTTGATTTAAATGAATGATATTTTAAAATCTGTTTTCTGAAATTTCTAGGAATCTACACATTAAACTATTCGATGATAAACTATAGTGTATATATTTGTCTCAATACCTTATTAACTTCATTATACAGTCAATGATTTTATTAATTTGTATAATTTGTTTTTGATTGAAATAACTTGATTTAAATCAGCCAACCCTAAATAAATGAATGTAAAGCAAAACTAACAGACGTGTTAGAAAATCTCCACTTGGTTGCACTCAGGACTATATGGGATACTGTCACAGATAGCTTTATCAAGACAGGTTTCACTACTTGATGGGCGAAGATGGCATAAACTTCTAATCATGAATAAAATCTACAACAATTTGTTCCCAAACTATCTTTGTATAACTGTATTGTATAACTGTGAAACAGAGCTATGTTATAAATATGATATATGTATTTTATAAATATTCCATTATTATTTTGATCACTCAGGGCAGCATCAACCTAATCAGAGCAAGTTTAGTTTTATTGCCATATTGTAGCTGGTAATCAGATATTCTCATCTGTTCCACTTGTTTAGTTTTGGGATCATGAACGAGTGTGCAAATAAGGTGAGAATATTTTTATTTCCAAAAACGTTTTCATTCACGTAATTTCTTTCTACTTGTGTTTTATTTTTATGCTTCATTTTCGACAGAATACAATTTAAGTTCATAATTTACTGGAAATTCTTAGAGATTTCGTTGGTAAATGATAAATATGTTAAAATATTATATATTAACTCGTGGTAGATGTAGTGATATGGTAGTATGGAGCTTATGAATATATTTAACATTTTACTTAAAGGTAAAGAGGAAAGACCATTTGGCACTCTTGGGTATCCCATTCCCATCATAAGTAAAGTGAAAGAGGTAAATATTTTGACTAATTATTCGTCTACCTAATTCGTAAATCTGACAGAGATCTCCAAACTGATGGACCTTTACATTATAAAACGCTAATATTTAACTTCAGGTACCATTCAGATAGTCCCTGTGTTCTGATACCAAAGTTGTAATGTAATGTATAACTTGTTGTTCAGTTTTATCTTATTGTGGATCTATCGGACTAAACTACAGTAGAATACCTCAAATGATTGCATATTGCCGTATAATATGAAGAAATGTAGCGCTTGGTTACCTTGACCTTTGTTCGATGTAGATATCAGAATGGATATTGTGTACAGAATCAATATGAGGTCCTAGATTTACATACGTATTTAAAAATAAACACACTTGTTAAATACATGCTCATAGCTGACGTCTTACACATTGCTTCTGAGGACCTAAGGCAGACACATTGATTCCTGTAAAAAAAAAGAATAGTAGAGATTGGTTATATTTGCTATTTTAAAATGTGATAACATTGTGACCTAAATTTGAATCAAAATTGAATCTAAGTGTTTATAAATTTAGTGTAGTGTTTGGTAAGGGTATTACTAATAGCATTATTGCATTACTGTTAGATCTTTTTTTTTATAGATTTAATAATTATTAATTCTTTTTAGATAATCCATGCGATTTCAGACGATTTCTAACCTCCTTACGGTTATTCTCTTAAATTGGGAGAATTGAAACAACCAAACTCGACTTCCAAGGAAATACATTTACATGTGTATAGCTATACATTAAACGAGCCAAAGACCTACATTACATATATTATAATCACATTTATATTATCAGTATCTTTGCTTCAATAAAGGGCAATCAAGTTTTCGACAGATTGACCTAGATTTAATTTCATATCAATTAATTCAGATAGCTGATCCAGTACAAAAGGCATAGCCTTATGATTTGGATTTAAGGTTCGATTCTTTGCATAATGAAGTAACATCCCATATGTGTTGTTTTAACAAGCAGTAGGTTTTATTTCCAGTTTGTTGGTTTGTACATGTTCAATTCTGCTCTATTGTATTTGTCTGTTGGCTGTGATAAGACTACTGGCTAAAAGCCTTGTCGGCTGTCACAAGCTATTTCTGTCGATAAACATTGAGGCATTCTTCTGGCTGTTTATTTATCGGGTTGTACTCCCTCGTATTGTAAGATGAATCAGACAAGGATAAGCCTCACCAGCTCTAACAACCTTGACAAGCTTGGCTTGAATCACTACAACATGGACGACATTTTCTAATAACTATACCCTGCACGGTTCTCTATCATATAATAGGAATATATTTTAAAAGGCGTTCAGGCATTTTGTTGTCTTAATATCAGTATATGAAGCTTAGAACATTTATGACATCACATTTGTGATATTCAGCTATTCGTCACCTCGGAAGATTCCTAGGGTTTCACATTTTAAAAGTGAATCACCCTTTATATCTCCAACAAATTGAGTAATTTTCAAGAAATCATTTCTGGCATTTCATTACAACGTCTACTGGTAAATACTGATATTGCAGACTATTTGCATGAGCAACTATACTGTCTACTAACAAGTTCCCTCTTCAAAACACCACACCCACTTATTCTGAAGCCTTAAAGACCTTAGTTGAGTGTGCCTTATGTAATGAATATTATACGCATAATCGAAGTGGAAGAATACCAGCAACAGACTGCTTAACATGTTAGATTTTATACGACGTAATTAACAAAAAAACAACACTATAGGTAGTTTTGTAAATGAAATTCTGTCGAATTTGGTAGAAGTACAATAAGGTTAGGCCTAACACAACTTGTAAATGATAATAATACTACTTATTTTCCGCTGTTGATATCTTTGAAGTTTTTCCTGTTAAATAGACACTCAATTATACAACAGCATTGATCAATATTTTCGAGTGTAAATGAAACAAACGGTCAAATTGATAAGAACAGTATCCAAAATCCAAAAACATGCGAGTACATTAGAGTAAGCGTAATTCGCCTACAATGCAGAAAATATACAATTTGGAAATTCTCGATCAAAGGTATAAAAATATTAAATTTAAATTTAGGATATATCGAAAGCATGTAGGCCTAAATTCTTTATCTGCTTCTTTAGCTGATGATACACACTCTTATTGAAAAATTTACTTTAGACCAAACTACATTCGATATATGTATTGCTTATTTCTTTTATTCACCATCTTTCAATATAGGTAATATTATGATGGTGATCATTTAGCCCTAGGCGTTGATGTTGATATTAAACTCCACAGTTCGAGGGCAAAACAAGAGTTGTTTCTCTCACAGCTTCAGAACTTATAAAATATATCTACTCTGTATGTGTGGCTCTGTTTTAGAGATAATCACAACATTTCTTAGACCGAAACATCTGTCTCTATTCGCTATTTGGACAGGATGTCGACTGGTGTAGCTGACAACTGGCAAAATATCCATCAGAGGATGGAATAGATGCAGATGTTTCGGACTAAATATTTCCATGCATCATATAGATAGTTACTTTATAGTAGTATGCATAGTCAGACATGGCAAAAAAAACCCAACAATTCTATGGTTAATTTTCATTCAACTATTTATGGAATACAATTACTGATTTTATTAGAGCGACGTTTCGACTAAGGCTCTCTTGTCATTATCACTCTACGTTTGGACTTGGGACTCTCATTAAAGCAAGAGACTATAGAAATCTAGTCGGAACGTCAGTGATTAAAAAGTGTTTTGCTATCTATATCTACCCACCTTTACTAATTGCCACAGTGACCGGTATCAACTTTGCTCCGATATAAAGAAACAACAAAGCCGGGGAAAATGTAAAATAATGCAATAAAGTGGCTTTACTACGTGAAAACAACCTGAATCCGTACAATAAATGATTGGAATTTGTTATAAAATTCTGAACCGATTTCGTAGTAAAACGACTTTTTTTCCAATTGTTTTCATTTTTACCCTTGCATCTGTTGTTTCCCTTTCTCTTCTTATTCAACAAACAATATGATACCGGTCCTTGTGCTAATTGCCATTCAATATATTTGGTCATGACAAACATGAAAATAAATTCAAAAGGGACTAATTCATTGTGTTGTAATAGGTATTGGTTGTATTTCAAGGTTCCAGTTCATATATTGGAAGTGAAATTATAAACAAACATATCAAATTGCGGCGGTAGTCTGGCTATAGTTTCTAGCTTTCCATAAGATGAATATAATATGGAATAAACCGTGTATTCAACTGTTGCAATAAGACAAATATTCGTATAAGATGTATGTGTGTGTGTGTGTCGTAATGTTTCCATGCATAACCAGAGGGTTACAGAGGTCAATATACAATATGAAATGATTATAAATTATATTCTTGCTAACAGTTATTTCCAGAGAAACACAGTGTTCATATGACTAATTTACTGACCTACTGACAAAAATTACATAAGTAAAAGGACATACCAAACAAACCTTATCTACTATTGAGACTCTTGAAAGAAGATATCTTATTGACGAGTAAAGTCACAGACAAGGACCACAACCATGTCAGTTAAAGAACTATGTAATTTCTGCAAATATATTTGCACTTTGAATGTACATTGTAGTTCACATTATAAATTGCAGTTTTCGGAATGTAGTCTAATAACGACCTGTAAACTTCCTAGTATGTTCCAATCGTAGGGGGAATCGGTCATCGGTTTTTAATCCTAAGAAGTTATACGGATGGATAAATGACTTTATTCGCTTTCGAAGCATATATTGTAGACGCTTATATATCTCTGTATGTACTCCATTTCATTTCGCTCTTTAAGATAATACTCAGTTAGGTCAGGGTAATACAGCATTCTTTATCTAATCTCTATTTTTTAAATTCATACATGTCGTTCTAAATTGGTTCTTCAACAGTACAATACAACTTACAGGCAAGTTATTCAGAATTTCAATTAGGTCTACTCTATATTATTTTCAACTTCAATCCAAAAACTGAGTACATCAGTAGAATTCGGCGGATTTCTAAATTTCATGCTATTTCATTCTATGATGTCTAAGACGATATGTGTTCTAAAGAATTGATTGTTTCTCATTGATATAAAAATATATTAAATGTATATATAAATATATATATTAAAGAATATATTACAGGTAAGAGGGGCTGGCATGGAAAAAGCGTCTAGTCGTTCGGATGGGACAATAAACCGAGGTCTCGTGTGCTACAGGCTATGCAAGTAAAAGATACCTCGACAGTTGGAAATCGAAAAAGAAATTTCCCCATTGCACCCTGCATGGCGTTGCCCACATGGTGCAGAACAATAGGACGTAAAACCCCATTCATTTCATTTCATTTCAAAAATGTATTATCAAACTTAGTTAAATACATGGACGATGGCACAAAATAAGCATATATTTATAGCATTAACCTCGAGTGCTTCAGTATATTAACAATTTTCCAGAAAGAAATATTATTATGGATTATTAGTTTAACATCGAAATTGTAAAGTGTGGAATTTGATTCAAGTTATTTCAAGCGTAATTCTACTGAAGAATGTAGAATTTGATTCAAGATATTTCAAGCGTAATTCTACTGAAGAATGTAGAATTTGATTCAAGATATTTCAAGCGTAATTCTACTGAAGAATGTAGAATTTGATTCAAGATATTTCAAGCATAATTCTACTTTAGAATGTAGAATTTGATTCAATATATTTCAAGCGTACTTCTACTGAAGAATGTGGAATTTGATTCAAGGTAGTTCTAGTGAAGAATATGGAATTTGATTCAATGTATTTCAAGCGTAATTCTACTGAAGAATGTAGAATTTGATTCAATATATTTCAAGCGTAATTCTACTTAAGAATGTAGAATTTATTTCAATATATTTCAAGCATAATTCTACTTAAGAATGTAGAATTTGATTCACTATATTTCAAGCGTAATTCTACTGAAGAATGTAGAATTTGATTCAAGATATTTCAAGCATAATTCTACTTAAGAATGTAGAATTTGATTCAATATATTTCAAGCGTACTTCTACTGAAGAATCAGGAATTTGATTCAAGGTAGTTCTAGTGAAGAATATGGAATTTGATTCAATGTATTTCAAGCGTACTTCTACTGAAGAATGTGGAATTTGATTCAAGGTAGTTCTAGTGAAGAATATGGAATTTGATTCAATGTATTTCAAGCGTACTTCTACTGAAGAATGTGGAATTTGATTCAAGGTAGTTCTAGTGAAGAATATGGAATTTGATTCAATGTATTTCAAGCGTACTTCTACTGAAGAATGTAGAATTTGATCCAATAGATTTCAAGCGTAATTCTACTTAAGAATAAAGAATTTATTTCAAGATATTTCAAGCGTAATTCTTCTTAAGAATGTAGAATTTGATTCAATGTATTTCAAGCGTACTTCTACTGAAAAATGTGGAATTTGATTCAAGATATTTCAAGCGTAATTCTATCTAAGAATGTAGAATTTGATACAAGATATTTCAAGCGTAATTCTTCTTAAGAATGTAGAATTTGATTCAATGTATTTCAAGCGTACTTCTACTGAAAAATGTGGAATTTGATTCAAGATATTTCAAGCGTAATTCTATCTAAGAATGTAGAATTTGATACAAGATATTTCAAGCGTAGTTCTACTGAAGAATATTGAATTTGATTCAATGTATTTCAAGCGTAATTCTACTGAAGAATGTAGATTGATCCAATAGATTTCAAGCGTAATTCTTCTTAAGAATGTAGAATTTGATTCACTATATTTCAAGCGTATTTCTACTGTAGAATATTGAATTTGATTCACTATATTTTATGTGTTATTCTACTTAAGAATGCAGAATTTGATTCAAGATATTCCAAGCGTATTTCTACTAAAAAACGTGCTTTGCTACTAGTAGTTAAAAACGAATAGTATAGTATGGATATTGTATATTTTATATAACATTATCATTATTGCCTTTCATGTAACAGAAGTATTATATTTATTCTATGAGTTACTTGAGTATCATTATTCAGAATAAAATATAACCTTTCATTATTTGTTTAACATACTGCTAGCAATTTCTATTTCTTCTTATTTCACAGCTCTTGAACGGGTGCTTTTGGATTTATTTCAAAATGAAATTGGTCGTTTTTCTCTTTGTCTGTACTGTAGTATCGAGGTAAGCTGTATTTTCTTTTTACTGGTGGAAAGGTAAGCTTCTATACTGTTCACTATCATAAATGTATTTTAAACTTGTTTATTTATTTCAAAAGATTGTCAGATGCTATTTCGGTTGGATTTTAAGAAATAATTTTTCACAATCAGCCTTTACACTACGATGGAGCATATCTCATAAAAGTCTAATATATTTTAGACAGGTCAAGGTAATGTCAGGTTTTGAAATTGCATGAATATTCTATTAAAAATTGTAATTTCAGCGAGATAGATGTATGGAGTAATATATTTCGTGAGAATTTCTCTCAAATGGATAAAAATTCTGATGGATTGGTAGAAATGTCAGAATACTCTCAGATGTTTTTAGCAGCAGATGTAAACGGTAGGTATACTTATTTTAGCCTCCCATTAATTTTTTAAAAATTTGAATTGTACTAAGATTGTAACTTAATCTTTTAGAGTCTTTGTTTAACATTTTTATCTATCTACTTTAGCGTTTGATTTGAAGATCATGTAAATTAGATAACAATTCCGTTTCTCTTTTTATTCTGTTATTTTCGTCTTCATGTTTTCATGCCCGCACTAATGACATTGTTTTTAACCAATCAAAGCATGTAACGTAGAGCCCGATAATATAACGAATTGTGGGATAGCAAAACCAAACACATTGTCATATTGCTTTACATTTGGTTCTTGGTCACCGTTAGTCTTTTCTGTTAACATTTAATCTAAATTGGATATGTTTTTAACCAGTCTTTTCAACATGTTGATGAATCTTAGTCGAGTTCAAAATTGATGATATTCTGTTCTTTGTTAGTGGCTGTTATTGATTAAAACGTGATTAGATACACAGGCTATTTTTTTTATCCTATATATCGATATAATTTGGTATACAAAAAGCTGACCTGTCGTGTTCAAATTTGGGGACATTAATTTCAATATTATATGCTATTTATTGCCATTGAATATATTTTTAAAAAGATTATTTTTGACAGGTGACGGAGGTGTAACTCTGAATGAATATTTAAAAACAGAAGCATTGGTAGAGAACCATGCTACACTAACAGAAGATTTTCATTTTAACGATCATAATAAAGACGGCGTTGTCAATATGGTTGATATTCGTCTTCAATTTAATCAGATTGATACTAACAGTACGTACATTGATATTGATGTTAGAATATCTCTCATAACACACTGTTTAGCTATTAGGGACTCTAGGGAGTTTGGGCGTAAAACTCTTAAATGATTATAATTTTAACCTACCGTGCTCTATAAGATGAAACAAAAAACATTGGAATGTCCTTTAGGTCTGCTTGTCTTCTATTTCAGATGATGATAAAATTGAACAAAATGAGTTCGTAGTTTATGCTGAAAATGTAATATATTTTGTCTAGTTGTGTTTCTATACTCCCACCCAAAGAATATTGGCAACACACACATTTTCCCTTTGGTTCAACTCTCTGTTCAGATAAATCTTGTGCTAACAGGCTACAATATCTGTCTGATAATTAAAAAAAACTGGAGTTTGCACCAACACCAAGATAATTAAGATCGGATTTTTTTTTACCATTTTTCATCGTTGAGCGTAAAGGGAAGTGCCGAAGGAAACGCGTACAATTTTTGTCGGTTTGTCCTAAGATTTGCAGCCGCTACTGATGCTTATTTGAATGAAACACAAATACAACATTATACCACACAACTTCTGTAAAAATGCATTTCAATCTTTGTGACTTTGCACTTCGGAATTTGATCGAAGGTTTGCATTCGGTTTTAATGCTTTTAATTGTTGATACCGCACCCTCACCATCTCATTACCAAAAGTTACCCAAAAATTCATGAAAACCTATTTATATTTTCATATTCTTATTTACAGCTTGTGAAGACTAAAGGTCATCCAGCATTTGGAAAATAATATGTTGGTAGTACCAACGGACACCTACCAATGAAATAATCTTTTCTGTAGTTTATTTCATATATAATTATATATTACAAATTACACGTGTACATGTAATATTATTTTCATCCCCCGTCCACTAGTTATTCCCCCACTCTTGTTAACCTATTTTTGTCCTCACTAAATTTAAACCAACAGTTCATACCAATTAAAAAGGTAATATTTAAAGGGGTTGTCTCCTGTTTTGTCCCGAGACTAAAGAAAGGATAACATAAGATATGACATATTTTGTGATGCTGATATATATATATTTACATACATGAAATTGGTTCAAAATTGTATGTGGGAATTTTTATACGCCCACATGAAATGGGGGACGTATATTGGCGTCACCCATGTCCGTCCGTCGGTTCGTCCGTCCGTCGGTCCGTCCACAATTGCTCGTAAACTCTCTACAAGACACAATTCTTGACGGATTTTAACAAAACTTGGTATGGAACCCTATTGAAAATCAGAAGAATCGAAAAATATTTAGTATATAAGTTATTGCCCTTGTTCTTGAAAACGCGTTCAATTTTTAGCTCATAAACACTCTAGAAGGCACAATTCTTGACAGATTTTGACGAAATTTGGTGAGTGTTTGTAATCACCCAAGGATGAACCCTATTGAAAATCAGAAGAATCGAAAAATATTTAGTATGAGTTATTGCCCTTGTTCTTGAAAACGCGTTCAATTTTTAACTTGTAAACACTCTAGAAGGGACAATTCTTGACGGATTTTGACGAAACTCGGCATGAGTGTTTTTTATCACCCAAGGATAAACCTTATTGAAAATCAGAAAAATCGAAAAATATCTAGTATGAGTTATTGCCCTTGTCCTTGAAAACGCGTTCAATTTTGAGCTCGTAATCACTCTAGAAGGCACAATTATTGACGGATTTTGATGAAACTTGGTGTAAATGTTCGTTACCACGCAAGGATGAACCCTCTTAAAAATCAGAAGAATCGAAAAATATTTAGTATGAGTTATTGCCCTTGTTCTTGAAAATGCTTTCAAATTTAGCTATAAATCACTTTGTTGCTGGATTTTGACAATTCTTGGTTTTCTTATTCAGTCCCGCGCTGAAGATTGGATATTTGCCTTCTAGAGTGTTCATGAGCTAAAAATTTAACACGTTTATATTATTCAGTATCGCCCTAAAAAGTTCAAAAGAAGTGTATGACTGAAGGTTGAATATTTCATACTGGTGATTGTTATTGTACTGCTAAATATTTTTATTCAAAATCAAAACTGCCAGTGGGCGTATTGTACCTTGCCTGGCAAGCTATCTTTCTTCTTGCCTTTGATTGATTTGATTGAAAAATCACATTGAATACGAGTTACAGTTTACAGGTGGTTCACTTTGCCAAAACATCGAGATGTACCCGACTGCGACATGGGTTATTAAAATTTATCAACCAAAGATGCATTTTTACGTATTTGTTAAGCTTTTAGCAGATTACATTACTTCTAGACAAGTCGTTTTAAAGACTTGAACTTGACCGTGTCAGTGCCTCGCATTTACATCGTACAAAACTTTAAAAATAGTCAGATGCAAACACATGTTTCAGCTGTAAATACCCATCTATGCCCAATTTAATTCAAAAACCTTCATAGTTATCAAATATGATATAAGGGAGATAATCAGATTGAGATTCCGTACTACAGTTATCTTTGGAGGTGACGACAGTTCAAATTCCCATGGTAACTAATTTATTTTTAATTAATGGGGAATAAGACACCAAAATATTGGCTTTGATAGTAAATAGATTGTGACAGGGCTTAATTTTACCCTTATCACTTTTACATTTAATATCAAAGCCAATATTTTGGTGAAGAATCAAACCAAATGTACAGAAAATCATCCTGACTTAGAGTGCCGTTTGCTGGACATAACTCTCTCGAAAGAAATGAGTTTTCAAATCCATGTTTTACACAAAATGGGTGATGACATTTGTCCATGGGTCCATTCTGACGAGGAAATGGATTACGACAGATGGTTCACACGGTAATGCATTATTTTCACTGATGGTTCAAAAGGTTACACATTATTAACACTGATGGTTCAAGGGGTTACTCATTATTTCACTGATTGTTCAAGGGGTTACTCATTATTTTCACTGATGATTCAAGGGGTTACTCATTATTTTCACTGATGGTTCAAGGGGTTACTCATTATTTTCACTGATGGTTCATTGGTTTACTCATTATTTTCACTGATGACTCACAAGTTTATTGTCAATTGCACCGATGGTTTTAATAGTTATTTGCTGTTTTCACTGGTAATTAATAACATTGCTTTCTTAATTTTTACAAATCATAAAATCATTTACAACTAGTTATTTTCGCAGATGGTTCTTAAGCTACTCGATATTATTACAAAGTGTTCACAAGGTTACTCGTTATTTTAACGAATGGTTCAAAATATTGTCACTGATGGTTCACGGTAGGAGAGGTCGATATTTCCACTGATGATTCACAGGGTTACTCGTTGTTTCATCTGATTGAAAACTTGGTTACTCATTATTGATACCGCTTGATACCGCTGATTCACATAGTTGCTTTTTTTTTCACTTGGTTGCGTATTATTTTCACTGACTGGTTACATGGTAACTTAATATTTTAACGTTGTTACTCGTTATTTTCAGTTATTGTTCGCTGATGACTTGGTTACTCATTATATTCACTGAGTATTGAGGCGGTTACTCCTTATGTTCACTGATGATTTAGGTGGTTACTCCTTATGTTCACTGATGATTGAGGTGGTTTCTCATTATGTTCACTGATGATTGAGGTGGTTACTCATTGTGTTCACTGATGACCGAGGTAGTTATTCATTATGTTCACTGATGACTGAGTCAGTTATTCATTATGTTCACTGAGTATTGAGGCGGATGTTTTCGTGTTTATACATTATTTTTACAAGTGGTGCGCACGATACAGTTTGATTTATTTATTTTATTGAAATAATTGGTATTCACTCAGAATAATAATAAGACCACATTAGAACTAATGTTTGATGGTCACCTATTGTTTACATGAAGACTTCAGATGTTTTTAAAGTATTTTTCGAATGTATAAATTTCTTTTGTTCTATACCTATTGTTGATCAAAAACAATAGGAACAATAAATTCTGAAAACAAGTCAAAAAACACTTTTTTTACGTAAGAAATTCACTAAATCTGAGAACACAAATACTGAAAAAGTCAATACTAAAAATGATATCCCTAAGGAACCAAGACAAATAGCCGAAATTCTTTTATCTGGAGCACTAGTTAATTTCCGACGATTAGATGAGAGTTGCAAACGATTTATTAGTAGGTATTGATATTGTGCACTTCCAAAGCTGCTGTTATCATTTTTCTTACAATTACATTTTAAATGTCCTGAAAAATCCTGGTAGTCCTTTCCTGAAATCATACACAAAATATTTAAATATCAAATACAAAAAAAAAAACAATTTACGGAAATCTGTACACTGATTTACATAATTGAGTTAATATGCTAGATCAGTGCGAAAATAATGATCGCAAAAAGAAGGAGGCAACTGTCTGTTTGCCAACAATGAAGAGATAATTTGAGTAAAAGTTGGCTTACAATGAATACATATATATTAGTATTTACCTAGTTCAGAAATATCTGATAAAAAGCAATCTGACTGTGAAATATACAGTATTATCGTTTTGTTAATCTCAGGCATTATTTGGTGGATAGTTATGAAATTTGTCTCTGTAGTTTCTGTCTTCGTGGTGGCACTTCCTACCGTGATCGTTGAACTGGCTGTTTCTTGTTTTATGGTAGTGGTTGTACCTTGATTAGTTGTATTGGTTGCTGTGCTAGTTGTATATTGGTTTATTGCACTGCTTGTGTCTTGTTTTGTTGTACCGGTTGCAGTTTGGTCTGGTTTGGTTGTATATAAGTTTGCTGTACTAGTTGTGTCTTGGTTTGTTGTACTGGTTATGTCTGGGTTTGCTGTACTTGTTGTATTTTGGTTCACAGTATCGGTTGTGATTTGGTTTGTTGTACTGGTTGTGTCGTGATTTGTACCACTAGTTATGTCTTGGTTTGCTGTACTGGTTGTATATTGGTTTATGGTACTGGTTGTGTCTTGGTTTGCTGTACTGGTTGTATATTGGGTTGTGGTACTGGTTGTGTCTTGGTTTGCTGTAATGGTTGTATATTGGTTTATGGTATTGGTTGTGTCTTGGTTTGCTGTATTAGTTGTATTTTGGTTTATGGTACTGGTTGTGTCTTGATTTTCTGTACTGGTTGTATATTGGTTTATGGTACTGGTTGTGTCTTGGATTGCTGTACTGCTTGTAATATGGTTAGTAACACTGGTTGTATATTGGTTTATGGCACTGGTTGTGTCTTGGTTTGCTGTACTAGTTGTATTTTGGTTAATGGTACTGGTTGTGTCTTGGTTTACTGTACTGGTTGCAGTTTGGTTTATGGTACTGGTTGTGTCTTGGTTTGTTGTACTAGTTGTATATTGGTTTATGGCATTGGTTGTGTTTTGGATTGCTGTACTGGTTGTATGTTGGTTTATGGTACTGGTTGTGTCTTGGTTTGCTGTACCAGTTGTAATTTGGTTCATTGTGTTACTCGTTGTTCTGATAGCAGTTGACAATTGGGCTGTAGTTGTGACTCTGGAAATTGGTTGAGTAGTAGAATTGATGGTATGACTAACAGTCAATCCACTGGTAGATTCGCTTTGGTTGGTATTTATCTGTGACGTGTAATTAGTGGTCTTCTCGCTAGTTGAAGGATAAGGGTTACTGGTAGATTGAATGGTTGTGGTTACTTCAGGAGTACCTGTCCCAGGTTGTGTGGGATAAGGATCAGTTGGTAAACACGTAGTTTTCGGTTTTGTAGATATAGGAATTGGTGGAGAAAAATCGGGTTTTATTTGATCTATTCCTGCTATAATTCAAAAGTTAAGATACAATCATTAGTCAACACATTTAAAAGGTTACAAAATCCAGATTATCGTTTTTAAACATTTATTCTCCAGTCCACCAAAACTCTGGTATATGTTAGTGTATGTCCATGTAATAATTTAAAATCCAATAATTACATCCTTATGCTATGAAACATCAATAAATTTTCAGTCTTAAACTGTAGTGGATTCCATTGATTTGCGGGAGCGGGAGGGGGCATCCGAGCGTCCCCGCATGCCTTTGTTGATTTTTAAGGGCACTAGTCATGATGAAGGGTCAGGATGACCTCTCCCAGGAAAAGCCGGAGAACACATCTAACGAAATTGGGAGAATAATGTTTGAGTCCGAGGTTGGACATGGTTCCAAAATGCACTGCCTAAATACGCCAGGGGTTGTAAATTATTCTTTATTAGATTTTAGATTTAGAACAGACAACATGTTTTGTTTGTTGTAACCATTGGAATAATATACACAATACTTACTTGTATAACATCGTTTGATAATTGTTTTCACTCCATGTGCATTATACGTTACAGATGGCACAAAGGAATTCAGGTGTATGTATGGTGATTCCATTATTAAACAAATACTACCGTTACCACTAAAAGCTTGACAATCTTTACCATTAAGAGAATAGTCTAAACATTTCGTCTTACATGCTGCCTCTGTTGCTGGCGAAAAATCTACTAGATCTGGTTCTGACAGTATTTGATCACCCCTTTCTTCAAAATAACATGGTGCTACAATGTAAAGATTCATTTTTACAGAAATATCGTTTGCCCCAAAATTTGTGTCGAAATACACCAAATTAATTCAATTTTTGATTTGTTTCCGGGGAATACTTTCTCAGGCGCTCCATTTGAGCTTTGCACAGCTGGTGCCTCCATAGCACTTTGTATTTTGGATCTTTGAAATCCCGATAGTTAATCTTCCCTATATTCCTTCCTACCCCTATAGTTAAGAGTCGCCGTCACTGTACCTGCATTATTCTTCTAACATTAAATAGGTGAGAGTTTCTTGAATCGTTTTTTAACTCATCGCCAAAAAAGTACCAATAGAGAAAAGTTATACATTATAGATATTGGTTTAATTGTACACCTTCTTTATCCCTTTCCGCCTTAAATGGTGCAAGACTTGCACATCTTTTAATGAATGAAAACATTTCAGACCTGTACCTACCATTACTCATTTCGCTAATATAGGGTAACTGTTGCGAACAGAGTTTATTTGACCATGTGAAATCTTTAAGAATTCCATGAACACATTTAGCACTGGTATCGTTTGTCCTCTCAGATTCCCAGTTAGTATAGTTAACCATAGCAGTACAATCAGCCCAGTAGTAACCATTGACCTTACTGTCAGCTCCTGTGTAATAGAATCCACCTATCCACGGTGTTGTAGACCTAAATAATATAAAGACAGTAATCTAGAAAAAGTCAATAAATTTTTTAAAAACTTTTGTTGAAGTTGTAATGCTCCCCTAAATCATTTAGAGTTCTGGGAGGCCACAAACCGACTTTTATCCGTCAAATTCATACCTCAATTGTCTTAAATGAGATTTGAACTACATAGTTGAAACAATGTAAATTGAATTACATTTTGCCGTTATGATATGGAAGAAAATGGTTATGTAAAGATGTGAAAAAGGGCTTCGTTATGTAGGATTCTTCTGGATCTTGCAAAAATACATATAACATACAGAGGACCCCACAGTCGAATGATTGTTTTCATTAGTCCACAACAGAACCGTATTAAGGAGTAAAACCCCATTTCGAGTTTTAAAAAAAAAGATTTAGAGAATGTCAGCATAAATATAATTATCTCGTGGTTACCCCAGATCTTTGTATAGTACTGATGCAAGAAGATTCCAGGCTATCATGGAAAATATACCAAAGTTACCAAATGATAAAACAACTTACAATACGTTTTCTGCCTTCCATTTAGCAATAATATCTTGAAAAACTAATTGTCTTTCATGGTGATTTATCTGCAGTAAAGATCGACTCTGTCTCTTAGTATTCGCATAAGCTTCATTCCATGTTAGAGGCGATGTATGCAAGTTGATAATAGTAGATTTAGTTTTTCCAGTGATACATGGTAAATTTAATAGCACCAAACAGAACTTGACAAAATAACACATTTTATATCTTATACTCGGCTCTGCGAAGATATCTTTGTCTTTTATATTATTAACGTAATATAAAAGACCTAAACTTTCCGTATATTAAAATATCGAATGGCGGGCACATAACTTAAAAATAAAGAAATAACACATTTCATATCTTAGAATAGACTCAGTAAAGATACTCCTGTCTTATATATCCTTTTAAAACACCAAACTAGGAATAACAATGATCCTAACTTTCAAGCGAATTAAAATATCCAATAGCGTGGAGATATCACGTGAAATAAACACAATCAATTGAAAAGCTATTGCCATATTTTAATCACATCCGAATTCTTACGTGTTTTAATATTTTGATCGTTACAGTGTGTTTAGATTCTAAACATTTCTATTTCTTTGTAATATACTTATATTGGGTGTTAGAGTTTAGCAAAACAATTCAAGTCTTTAATCAAGCAAGATAAAAATATTTGCCTGCAACAAATAACAATATAGAATTATTATATAAATCTAATATCATGAAAAAACAAATATTATAATAGCCCCTTTCAGTAAACTTGGGCACATGCGACACGTGTTTCAAATACATCATCCGAATTCAACATGCAACTGACAATGGTTTCAATAAACGTAGATATGAACAAGCTTGATATTTGTCCTTATTTCAGAGTTGGTTTTACTGTTATATTATAGCTATATAATCACCAACTTAGAATGATGATGCAGATTGATGATAACATGATTTGGCCCCAAGGCCCACAAACTTACATACTTTTACTTAAATTTGAAGCAGCTATTACAGGTACATAACTAATTGTATTGAATAGAAATATATAACAATGTTTCTGCCACTATCGCTCTAATCTTTAAAATTCTTGATTGATGGCATTATAAATTTGAGTAAAAATTAAACTGAGCATAAGAAATGTTTTGTGGCCTTAGGGCTAGGTCAAAAATGTGTAAAAACAAAATGTTCGCATCTTATAGTAGCCTACAATATCTCTTACTATACTACATTACACCTGTGCAGGTAGACCACTAAGATATTTAAAATTATTTGATAATAAACATGTAATGTAGTATATATATAATTCTGATATCTACTTCAACTTTGACCCAGTTTGTAAACTAAGATGATATCGATTGTGGGAGGGATGTAAAAAGCTGAATAACTATATAGAAATATGTCGAGGGTAGCTTCAGTCAAACTATTAATATTATATCTTATACTGCAACAGGTAAATATAGTTCACATACTTCCATTTATAGACTATATTTCAATCCTTTATAGTCTATATTTTACCTCTAGTTACAGTTTCGTTATTAACAAACATCAATATATGATCTTCACAATCGTTCTTATTATCATTATGATTTTCATTTCATTTTGATCGTTGCACAATCCATATTAATAACAACATATATCTGATCAACAATGATTATGATCTTTAAATCAGTATGAGCATCAATATAATCGTCCACAATCAATCAGATGATCAATATTTTAATCATCAATATGATAATCATCATAATTCTACCAAATAATCAATATGATGTTCAGAAATTCTCCTCATTATAAATATGATCTTCCAAAATCAATCTGATCATCAACATGATCTCCCCAGATCAACCTATATAAACTCTCAGAATATACTTGATCATCAACATGATCTCCCAGAATCAACCTATATAAACTCTCAGAATATACTTGATGATCAACATGATCTCCCCAGATCAACCTATATAAACCCTCAGAATATACTTGATCATCAACATGGTCTCCCCAGAATCAACCTATATAAACTCTCAGAATATACTTGATCATCAACATGATCTCCCAGAATCAACCTATATAAACTCTCAGAATATACTTGATCATCAACATGATCTCCCAGAATCAACCTATATAAACTCTCAGAATATACTTGATCATCAACATGATCTCCCCAGATCAACCTATATGAACTCTCAGAATATACTTGATCATCAACATGGTCTCCCCAGAATCAACCTATATTAACTCTCAGAATATACTTGATCATCAACATGATCTCCCCAGAATCAACCTATATAAACTCTCAGAATATACTTGATCATCAACATGATCTCCCCAGAATCAACCTATATAAACTCTCAGAATATACTTGATCATCAACATGATCTCCCCAGATCAACCTATATAAACCCTCAGAATATACTTGATCATCAACATGGTCTCCCCAGAATCAACCTATATAAACTCTCAGAATATACTTGATCATCAACATGATCTCCCAGAATCAACCTATATAAACTCTCAGAATATACTTGATCATCAACATGATCTCCCCAGATCAACCTATATGAACTCTCAGAATATACTTGATCATCAACATGGTCTCCCCAGAATCAACCTATATAAACTCTCAGAATATACTTGATCATCAACATGATCTCCCCAGAATCAACCTATATAAACTCTCAGAATATACTTGATCATCAACATGATCTCCCCAGAATCAACCTA